TCAAATTCACATTTTTATGACATAAAATCCCAGTGTCGACTGCCATAAAAGCAATTGAAGACTAAAATGTACAGTAACACAGTTAACGTACAGTACCCACATGTTGACACCATGCTTTGAATCTTCAGTTTTGCATACCATTATCACCGCTTGTTCTCACTTCGTAACATCTGGTGTGCTGACTATATTAGCTGCACTGACTATCAAATTCTGAGTAAACACTTGACGTTATGAATGTTGAATGCATCATTCATCTGACCATGGAGGAAGCTGTAGTTGGTTCGTAAACGAAGTAAAATCATTGTTTGCGTATTATTATCAAGCTACTGTTGTATAGCATGTTTAAAACGTGAATTGGACACCGGTTTTAAATATCGTCTATTAAAAATGTTATATTGTGGAAGTACTGTAGATGAAGCAGAACTGATAGTAACTGGTAGAGTTGATGTTTCTGATTGTTCGCCTTCAGTACTGTTCCTTCCATTGTAGTATTCCGACAGTATTGAAGTAATGTAGGACAAGTAAATGTTTGTTTTAGACATTGAACAAGAAGGAATTGTTAGAAAAATAATCGATGGATATTTATCATAGCTTTGCTTTACACGAAGTGGAGGTGGAATGCCATTATTACTGTAACACTAATGTCATGACTGAATCTTGTCTTATAAATAACTCTTTTGGATTGGATTTATCTACTGTACACTTATGGTATTTTAGTTGATGAGATGAGTATGGAACATGTTAATGTGTTGACTGCCATTAAAATATAATTACAAATATAGTGCAACATATTGCTGACAAGGTGTACAGTTAACTGACAAACAGTGTGTATACAGTAAGCCTTTTGTAGTGTAAATATTGGTCCCAGTGTCAGTGCTCCAAGTATTAGACAGGTAGGTTTGAAAAGGTCCTATTTAAATTTTGCATTTATGTTTTATTTTTCGTAAAGTATGCACAAGATGTTCTATGGGATCTTGTCGCTGAGAATTTGGCCTAGATATTACTGCTCAGAACTCCCGTTCAAACACAGCTACTGTACTAATACTACGGTATACTGTAGCATCTGTTTTTAATTGCGAGTCTGAGTGCTAAGCTCCTCAAAATAACATTCACATGAGTCTAGAGTACTGTAGGGGTGTGATAAGATACAAAATACAGTAATTACATGTCAGTATTTACTTGTACCTGAATTATTGTCTATAAAACAGGGGAGGATCCAGAGATGTCCAAAAGAGAGGGGGGGGCCTGAAAGGTGGGGGGGGGGGGGGCGAAAGTTGGGCCGATCGAGACAACACTATCACAGGGGGTCCGGCAGAATTCCCCCGCGAAATCTTTGTGTTCTAGATGCCCGAAAATAACATTTGAGGCGTCTGGGCTATCATTTATTTCTTTTTCTTTCTTTTTTCTTCCTTTTTCTTTTACCTCCAAAAAAGGGGGGTGGGGGCCGGGCCAGATCGACCCCCCCCCCAAATCCACCCCAGTAAAAATTTTACATTTTCAAATCCCCTCAGTGATTTTTGTAAGCGATATTTTATTTTGAATAAGTGTCTGGTAAAGATGCTCCAATAGTTTGTAATAAGCGACGTCCATGAGTAGGCCTACTGATCAGAAGCCTAAAAAAAGTTATACAGTACAGTAAGCATTGAGGTGCTGCTTATGAAATGTTTGATTCTCACATTTCTACTGTAGTACAGATGAGTAATGCACAATATTTTGCTGGTAACTCTCAATACAGTACAGTAGTTTTTTTTTCCAGTAAAACACTGACATAGTAAACTCAACCAAATATCATTTGGCTTAACATTAATTTTTATACCATAATTGAAATGTTATTATCAATTGTGTTGAGCAACCTAATAATGACTAATTAGACTAAATGCTGGCCTTCAGTAACTCAATTGTTATTTTGTCACAAAACAGAGTTCAAAAACAAACCTTCAAATCTATGAATTTATATTTTGAAATGTAATTGACAGACCTTATAAAAATTGATATTATTTGCTGGTTGATATGTATCGCATTGTTAATGCCAATGTCAATACATCACTATCATACAGTACTGTACGAATTGTATCAAGTAGGTCTGAAAGCAATCCACTTGTTCTGGCAAATAAACAGGTAATTTGTTTAGCAATGTTAAATTAATATTTAATTATTAGAATACTATACTTCAGTTTGTCATCTTAATTAAAACGGAAAAGCCTAACTGTATGACTGCTGTGCTGAGTTAAAATATTACAATCAAATGGCTTTATACCGTAAGTGAATTACTATTACCGGTAATTAAATACTAGAAGTTAGAACAATGTCAGATTTTCTTTGCCGATTATTAAAAGTCTAAAGAGATATAATAGTAGGCCTACTCTACGTAATATTGTCACTTCTTTGCATAGACTGGCACTAATAATTTTGTAACTCTAGTCTTTAATTAGTAGAAACTGATGGTTTCACTTTGAATTTCATTGAAAGTTGATTTAATTTGTGTAAGTGAGCTATTGTACACTGTAGTATTCATTTTTTAATTTGAGGATTGAGTGGTTCCAGGCTAGGATTTCTTTGAATCACTTAGGGCCCGTTCGAGCAAAAAACGCCAACCATATTCCGTTTATTTCACCGGGTAATCGCGCTGAGCACTCAGCGGGTGGTCGACCGTTCGAGCAAGTTTTAGCTCACGGTAAAT